GGGGCGGGGGGATGCAGCCAGGCGAGTGTGTACCCTCTGGGGTTATACCAGGTAACGGGTGTACTGTGGTTGTATTCTGTATTGTATTTTATATTACTGTTATGTACCACACACCTTTAGGAGTATACAAGTGTTGGAAGCAAAATGTTGTTGAATTACCTCCGTTTAGGCCGATAGTCTAGATGTGGTAGGGTGTTCACCAGCAGGGTCGAGCAGTTCCCATTTTTAGACTCGTTCTGCGACCTGTGTGTGTGCTGTAAAGGGCCAGGGTATAGAGGCAGCTAGTGTGGGAGCTTAGAGAAAGTTACGGGGAAGGCGGTTAAGCCCTGAATTCACGTGAATTCACGTGAATTGAAGGCGGACGGGAATTCAATAAGCGACTCCTACACAAGTTTGAGCAAGGTGTTCTGCTCAAGTTGGTTAGGATTTTGTTGCGGTTCACCTACCGCAACAAGGTAGGTGAGTAAGTTCACCTACTGCAACAAAGTAGGTGAGTAAGTTCACCTACTGCAACAAAGTAGGTGAGTAGGTTCACCTACTGCTCTTCGTTTAGCTGACTAGAGAGAAGGTAACATTGTTCATCTTATTGTGTAATAAGTTGCATTGCCGGCTCAGCTGGACAACTGACCAATCACATACTGTTTACATCAGCTGATGTATGTAAACAAACTTTGTTGACATATATCAGCTGATGTATGCCAACAACCATATTAACTAGCTTGCAGTTGAATGGCTTAACGTTCACTACCAAACCAATCCAGATGGAGTGTTGGTGTTAACGCAGGATTATTTAGAGGTTTTAAAGTGTTTACAAGAAGGGTAGAATAGATAATTGTATGTAAGGTTCATTTATTAACTTGTTTCTAATATAGCTTTGATGATGAGTGGATCCAACTGAAAAGTCATTGGTTAGGTAAGCTTATACAATTGAAAATTTATAAATTACATTATTCAAAACGAACTTATGTATAAGAAATTATTATTGTTACATTTTATTTAATTTACAAATTAGTTTTATTATCTAATTCTTTAACCTTTATTTGTAAATGGTTGTACATTTTATATTGACTTTACAAAGCTAAGCAAATTCCACATTATACAAGCCAAAAAATACTGTTATGTGTAGCATTTCCTATTATAATTTTGCATTAGAAAAATATTATAATATAAACAGAAATTGTTACAGTTCTATTAACATTAATGCATACATTACAAGGGAGAGCAGACAGTTTATTGTAATCCCCCATTCACAGTAACATTGTAATCCCCCTCGTTCACAGTAATATTGTAATCCCCCCCGTTCACAGTAATATTGTAATCCCCCTCGTTCACAGTAATATTGTAATCCCCCGTTCACAGTAATATTGTAATCCCCCTCGTTCACAGTAATATTGTAATCCCCCGTTCAGAGTAATAATGTAATCCCCCATTCACAGTAATATTGTAATCCCCCGTTCACAGTAATATTGTAATCCCCGTTCACAATAATATTGTAATCCCCCTCGTTCACAGTAATATTGTAATCCCCGTTCACAATAATATTGTAATCCCCGTTCACAATAATATTGTAATCCCCCTCGTTCACAGTAATATTGTAATCCCCGTTCAGAGTAATAATGTAATCCCCCCATTCACAGTAATATTTTAATCCCCCCATTCACAATAATATTCACCTTATTCCTATTCACATTATACTGACATATTTTTTAAAGGCCTGAAATTAATAACAATGCTCGGAATAGTATTGGCAAATAAAGAAAATAAATATACATAGCATTTTAAAGATAAGGTTTCAATGCACTAAATAATGTCAAGTGCCCAGCTAAGGGTATAGTGAGATTATCCCCCATGGTGAATAGGTTACAAGTATTAATGAGGTCAGATGTGAGTGCATCCCGTGGTACTATAAATTATAAGAGTCAGAGAAGAATGCCAGCCCCACGCTGGGTGCCACATGTGATGGTTATCGCCTATAGTGAGCTAACTATATTAATATAAGTGACCTCAGTCAGAAAGGACTGCACTAGCAACAGAACAAATGCTGTAATGACAGTTCATTACTTTAAGACTGCACAGGGAGGCATAGAGTCAAATGCCAGAGTCCAAATCCTTGGCACTCTTGATCCACTGAGTTATGGAGCTTCCGTAACTACTGAAGGTAGTTGTCAGAGTAGCTCATATGTGTCTCATACCAAATATTTGTATTTTGGTGTGTGTGGCTATGAAATTAGTTTGAGTCCAAGTATCCAGAGCAACGGGAAGTGTCACTTTCAAGGGCAATTGGCAGAGTCAGTATAAGGTACAAGGGTCTTAGAAGGGGTGAACGTAAAGGCATTTGTAGTTCAACAAATAAACAATTATTCATAAAATTTAATACTAGCGATACATGGCAAGAATAGTGTAACGTTACGCTAATGTCCGTCCGTCCTGGCGCTTGACAAAGCTAGGCAAGCCGGAAGAACACGCTTCCGGATCAGATCGTTCATGGTACTAACACTAATTACACTTTACAAAGTGGGCAACCACTCCAGACGCTAATAGCAGCTCGTCACGACTGCGGCAAGCAATAATAATGTCACAATAAAATGACAACAGACAGACTTGTCACTGAGACCAGCCTTGCGTGCAACAATCAATTAATTACGTTAAGGCTCGTTTCTCAAGACGGCAGTCAAACAATCAATTACGTTAATACAAAAAGATAGACCGATGACACGGTGTAATCAATTACATACGTTACTTAGTAAATCCAATTACGTTAATTTGTCTCCAGGACAGTCAAGTCAAACAAGGTAAACTACGTTAATAACACTCAGTCAACACAAACAGTCAAGCAATCAAAACAAGTCAATGAAGTCAAACAACAACTTCTGGGTAATTAGCAATCCCTAAGTAACCGCTCAAAGTCCTGTCAAACTTGACAGATCAACTCAACTCTCAAATAATTACGTTAACGCTCGGCGATCACTAAGACCGCTTGACTAACGCTGATTAGTAAACACGATTGTTATTCACTTCGTATTAATCAAAACGATAATCAATTACATTAAATCAAAACACTGACTTCACAATAATGAACACTCAGTCACACTGACTTCTCATGTAATGAACACTAAGTCACAACAACACCGGGTCACATAGACCAACACCGTCAGTACACATAATAATACAGTGCGTACCCACAGCACTGAACAAAACACAACACACTGACACTTGTGTCAACAAAAGCAATAAATACAATTATAGAACAATAACACCCTTACTCTTAATCACTGCATGTCCCATGGAAGTAGAGAAAGAATGACAACATGGATATGGTTCAACACGTAGTGATGGTATAATATTGAAACCACACTAATCAAATATAAAACACAATTTATAACACAGTCACAAAATGTGCACAATATATATTTTGTAAGATGACAAACACACTTAAGGTCCAGTTACAGTTATCACACAGACTAGCTGTAATAGGCCTATACCTATAGTGCTTCCCCGGGGAATCGAACTCCTTCCCGTAGCGGGATTATGAAGTCACCGATCGGCTGACTGGGTCAACACAAGGAATATGGCACTTGAGACGAAAGATATAATGAAATAATAGTTTGAGTTCTCACTTTGATTATACCGGTACACACTCACTCGACCAACATTCACACTCACTATGACTCCTGCTGTTGATTGAAGACAGAGAAGGCGGCGGAGTGAGGTGAGGAAGGTAGCCGGGTAAGGCGGGGGGGGGGGGGAAGATACAAGCATGGTATCTTTCACAGTGGAGTCAAATGCTGGAGAGGAGGAGCCTAATAGTGACGAAACTCCTTGGACAACTGTATCGTCCCGGAGGAAGACACAAGGAGTCAAAAATTTCATAAATCGTAACCATGAGAAGAAAAGAACCAGCCTGCATTTCCCCCCGGGCACGGGAACTGCAACGAAATATGCATGGTTGGCTGAGGCAGCCAAAAAACACCCTGGTGGTGGGTATTGGTTGGCGAATAGACATGCAAACCATGTTCGTATGAACATTACTGATGAGATGATGCAACGATTCTGTACTCGAGAGCTTGCTGGTATAACAGTGAGGAAACCACCACCGCCTGCCCATACCCACAGGACACCCGTCATCATTTTTGGCCTGGACCTCTACCAGGATCACACACTAGTGGAACAGTATGAACACATTTTCAATGCGAAAAGAACAAAGGGCAGAGAGACTATTATCCCCCACTGGACTAGCGAAGAGACTCCGCCGGAAAGATTTACTGTCCCAAGTGCTTATCAGCAACTAACAATAAAGGTTTACATCCCTCCCAGGTGCAGGTGTTACAAGTGCCAACGGTGGAATCATGTTGCAAGGAACTGTAGGAATGATGAGCGGTGTGGCCACTGTGCCAGAAAGCATGCAACGTCTGTGTGTGATGCTACAAAGGGTGGTGCACTGAAACTGAGGTGTGCAAACTGTCACATGGAGGGAGTTCCCGCCTGGCATGGGGACTGTGCTGCACTCCCGCCGAGACGGGCTGCCCGGGGTGGACCAGCAGGGGGCGCCAGTAACCACCCTGGCTCATCTGCTGTGCCCCCACCGGTCACTCCGTCACACTCCCCTCCCTTACCCAACCACTCCAACGCCACAGCTAGTAGCTCGAGTGACACAGTTGTAGTCCCTACAAATTCATGTTGGTCCGGTGCCCGGATCAGGCATAGAAAATTAGTGAGCTTATGAATACAGTAAAAAAAAAAGCATAATTGTGGAAAAGCTGAACATGCAGATAACTGAACAAAATAAGGAAATCATGCACCAAAAGACGATGATAACCACTCTTCAGAACACTGTGAGAGTATTAACTGAGTGCAGGCCACACCACCCTGGGGTACCACCATGTGCTCCCATGCGGCCAGCACCCCAGGGGAGACCCCAGCAGGGGGTGTCCCAGCCCTCACACCAGCTGGGCTCTCCCACCACGGCTCCCCACACCCCAGCCTCATCAACGCAGTGCGCTATGAACAGAGGTAAACTATTCCACGTAGAAACGCATAGTGCTGTCGATGAGTATTATGGGTCAACTGATCCTGATAATGAACATAGTGACACTGAGGGTGAGAACTTTAATGATGATGACGATCATGATGTTGATACCGGGTCTAATAAACTCTGAAGGAAAATAGTAGTGGAAATGATGAAAGTGATTGTGATAAAGAACGAAGTGAAACCAGTGACGCGTGTAGTGATAGTGACGAAGTTCAACTGGACGTGGTGCCCGCCTCGGGCCGCGCACGCCACATCCCAGATGGTTCCGCCGTGACACATTTAAAGAAATGGTGACAGGTGATGTGCTGACTGAAGAGGAAAAAGAAGCCGTAATAAAGCACTACAACCGGTATGTAGACATACTTGCTTTCCTGAAACTGCAGACTGATAAAGTACAAAAGAACAATGGCGGCCTCTGAATCTCATAAGAACAAGTACAGTGTCATCAAGATACTCAGTTGGAATATTGCTTCTCTTAGAAAACGGTATTCAGATCTCCATCATAAGGTTATGACTGAAGACATAGATATTGTCTGCCTCCAGGAAACCCTAACTCCCGCAGGTAAAACCCCGCAGAATCTGCCTAGTTATCAGTGTTATAATCCCAGATAAAAAAATACGTGTCTCATGTATGTTAAAAAATCCCTGCCATATGAGCCACTTCCCGCCCAACAACGAGAGGGGTTTCAATATCATGGTATCCGGGTACACGTTGGTAACTCTACACTTAATGTTTTGAATGCCTATGCACCAACTGGCCTCCTCCAGTATACTGACCTACCTAGTTTTGCACATACTGACTCTACAATATTAATTGGGGATTTAAATGCTAAACACAAACAATTAAGGGATCAACTTACAAACACCAACGGGAGAAGATTATTGGCACTTCTCGATGCATATGATGGTGTTCAAATTATCAGTAAGAATCAACCAACGCAAATATATATAGGTATTCTAGATAGGTGCATTGGCTTTAACCTGTCATACACAACTTATGAGACTGATATTATGGATGACTTAATGTCTGACCATTTAGCCATAACAGCTAACATACACGTGGCTAATGTTGACCTACCTGGCACTAAGCTGAGTAGACGCAGGTTAACAGTAAGGGAAGAGCAAGAAAAATTCTTTATAGACAGCATAGAACATTGGTATAACAATTATGAGCCTGAGAATGTACAACAGTTTAATGATGACCTCGTGAATAGAACCTATGAGGCCATCAAAAATAGTGAGTCACGCCAAACAAAAAGACGTACTGGTAAACAGGCAACTCGTTCTCGCAAATTTAATAAGTCAATATTGACTTATTAAATATGTGCATAGGTGACATACTTAACATAATAGTTTCCCTTGAAAAGCTTCATAGAAAACACCGACCTTACCTAACCTACTTAGTATGTTAAGATAAGCATCTTATTGCTTCGTAATTACAATTATTACCTAACCTATACCTATAATAGGTTAAGTAACAATTGTAATTACGAAGCTATAAGATGCTTATTTTAACATACTAAGTAGGTTAGGTAAGGTCGGTGTTTTCTATGAAGCTTTTCAAGGGAAACTATTATGTTTAGTATGTCACCTATGCACGCAACTAATAAGTCAATATTGACTTATTAAATTTGCGAGAACGGGTTGAAACAGGTCAGACACAACCAGTACTATGATGATGCTAAACTGAAAGAGCTTAAATCAATTGTTAGACAGACAAGTAAAGAATATGTAAGCGCCTTAGAACTCCTCAAATATTAAAACTGTTTCAGACCGCGCTTGCAGCGGCAAGGGAGAGAATGACTGAATTGAGACAAACTGAATGGGAGGGTTTTGTTAGTGGACTTAACCTGCATACTCCCCTGGGCAAAGCCTGGAAAGGCATAAACAAAATTTTTGGTAAAAATAGTAGACAAGTTTCTCACCCAAACCCGCTACAGAAAGCCAATCAGTTAATTGCAAACTGGGCTCAGGTTTCCAGCTTTGGAATGTTACCAGCTAGCACTAGAGAGAAATTGCAGGAGAGGTTCACAATTCAGGAGAGGCAGGAGAGGACAGAAATTCTCTCATAAATTTCATTTTGAGCTAGCAACATGATGAATGTGATGTTCCATATACAGATTATGAATTGGATGTAGCCCTCTCCAGGGGCAGTAGCACTGCTCCTGGTGAGGACGGTATCACCTATGATATTCTAAGACTCCTACATCGTGTACCCAGTGACCCATTATTAGAATTGTTTAATGCGAGTTATGTCACTGGGCAGTTGCCAGTATCATGGACCACCAGTCTTACGGTACCTGTACCAAAGCCTGGCCAACCTGATGCTTTCCGTCCCATCTCACTAACCAGTTGCATGTGCTAAACCTTTGAAAGAATGGTGCTTAATAGATTATTGTATAGAGTTAAAGAGCACATGTCACCTGATATCAATGGTTTCACACATGGTGATACAACTGTATCACAACCTTTCTTACTATTCATGGAAGTAAAAGGCACAAGAACACAACATTTCTTGATTTAAAAAATGCCTTTGATATTGCTAATAGGGAAGTGATTATGTATGAATTAGCGAGAATGGATATAGGAGGACATTTATTACAATGGATACGATGCTATCTTACCAACCGGAAGTCCTCTGCACTGTTCCAAGGCTACAAGAGTGAAACTAAAGTAATGGAACTAGGCACCCTACAAGGAGGAGTACTGAGTCCTACCTTGTTTAATGTTCTAATTAATGCTTTACTAAAATCAATCCCAACTAGTCCGGCAAACATCACTATCAGCTATGCAGATGACATCCTTGTATATACTAAAACCCACTGCGAAATGCAAACAGTCTTAAATTGTATACATACAGCTTGTGAGAGCCTTGGTCTTGTAATCAACGCTGCTAAAACTAAGGTATTTAACAGACAAATTGGCAACCGCAAAAGTGGACCACGAAAACTTAAGATAGATGACATACCAATAGACTATGTCTCTTCTTTCAAATACCTTGGTGTCTCTGTCCCTTGTACCTCAACTGCAGTCAATAAGTTACATCAACAATGTAGAGACAGACATTGTAGAGACAATGTAGGGCTCTCAGAACTGTAGTGGGGTTCAGTCCGAAATATGGTGTTAATATTAGAATAGTAAGAATGATGTATTTAGCATATATAAGGTCTCCGATAGACTATCATGCACCAGCTTTGGTCCTGCAAAATGGCAAAAGTATTGATAGACTGGAAAAAATGCAAAATGAAGCACTCAGAATTATACTTGGCTGTCCTATAACTACTAAAGTTCTCAACATGTGGAAAGAATAAAATATACTTAGCATTAGAGATAGAATATTTGAAATTAATCTTATGATGGGACTAAAACTTCTACGTGATAACAAAAACAACATTGTGTCAGTTGCATTGTTAGAACACATACGAAATGGAACTAGCGAGTCTAAATGGATTCAAAGACCAGCCACTCATATTAAAATGATGGGACTGCACGATGTATATACAGATGAAAGAGTACAGCACTTCCTTCCACCCTGGCAGATAGTACCTTTTGACATCCTGACCCCTGCATACCCCACCAAGAAACTAATCACAAGCAACCCTCATGCTCAGCTTGCTGCTAAATTAAGCACAATAGAACACATTCACAATATACAAGCTGAAAACAACATTGCACAGACCATATACACTGACGGATCACTCAATGCAGCTACAGGGAGGGCAGGAAGTGCTGTTATTGCTCATCAGTCCGATGGCAGCACAATTCAAAGGAATATCCGAATTAGTAACTGGGCGTCCACAATGCAAGCCGAGTTGGTAGCGATACTGGTAGCACTCGAAATTATTGACAACAGTAGACAGCTTAATTATTTCCGACTTCCTTTCCTCACTACTAGCAATAAATAGTTTGCAATCAAGTAATAACGTGCTTGTCTCAGAAGCCAGACATAAATATATAAGTATACTTAGCAAGAGAATAAATATAAAAATGTTGTGGATTCCTTCTCACATTAGCCTGCAGGAACATGACAAAGTTGACGCCCTTGCTAAGGCTGCAGTAAATAAAGACAGCATTGAACGGAATCTTGAGTTATCAAATAGGTCCCTTAAAAGTGTCATTAGACGAGAACTCCTGGATGGATATGAAGAAAGTAGAACAGTGCAAACTGGAACTAGCAGTTCCAGTTTGAACTGGAACTGCTAGAAACTTTCATTGTTCATCACAATGAAATTTGTGAAGTAAAACATGTGTATGGGGCAAGTAACAAAGTCATAAATTAGGTGTCAGTAACAAAGTCGAAATTAGGTGTCTTTGGAAAGCAGACGCCTTCAAATGTGCAGAAAACTAACGATCGTTGCTGTAGCATTTCTGGATAAATTGTTACAGGATCAGCCTGAATTTTGATCTCAAGTCTCCTAGAGAGAAGAGAGGGAGAGAGAGGCAGGCACTTGTCCTGGGTAACGGTCGCCAGTGACGCCACGTCACCAGCTGGTTCCCTGGGATTATGCAGGCGAGGAGTCACAATAACGTGGCTGAAGTATGTTGACCAGACCACACACTAGAAGGTGAAGGGACGACGACGTTTCGGTCCGTCCTGGACCATTCTCAAGTCGATTCATGATCGACTGGTCCAGGACGGACCGAAACGTCGTCGTCCCTTCACCTTCTAGTGTGTGGTCTGGTCAACATACTTCAGCCACGTTATTGTGACTCCTCGCCTGCATAATCCCAGGGAACCAGCTGGTGACGTGGCGTCACTGGCGACCGTTACCCAGGACAAGTGCCTGCCTCTCTCTCCCTCTCTTCTCTCTAGGCGACTTGAGATCAGAATTCAGGCTGATCCTGTAACTATTTATCCAGAAATGCTACAGCAACGATCGTTAGTTGTCTGCACAGTTGAAGGCGTCTGCTTTCCAAAGACACCTAATTTCGACCTTCTATCTGCTATAACAAGAAAGATAGCAAGTAAGTCAGTAATTATCAAAAGAAGGCACCAAACCGGGAAGGCTATGTAGCACCATCAAGAAAGATAGCAAATTGGTGCACACACGTGCACTCCCTGAAAATT